CCGCCGCCAGAGGTGTGCACCGGCGTGCGCTCGACACCGATGAAGGTGGCGGCAGGGGATCCGGCGGCTCCACATAGCGTGGAGGGCTCGGCATCCGGGGCGGCGGCCCCGGGCGGAGAGCGCCGGGTGGCCCGGGCGGCGGGCCACCCTGGCCGGAGCTGGTGAGGCGCCTCCCTCGGTCTCGCGGGGGACGAGGAGGTGTCGGTCCACGGTCGCTGGTGTGCGGCCTCCCCTGCGCGGTTGCCGTCGCCAGATGCATCTCATCCTCTTCGCCCCGATCTGCTCCTCCATCGCCGGATCCGGGTCCTCCCGGGTGTCGGCAGCGCGGATCTCGTCGAGGGGGTTGGTTCCGGGGGAAACCCCTGGCCGGCGCAGCCACATCGCAGGCGACACCCTGGGCGCCGTACCCCTCCCTGGAGGCTGTGGTGAGGATCCTTCCCCCTCCTTCCGTTCCCTACTAGGTGAAAGCCTATGTCCCCTGATTCGGGCAGCGACGACACATCCGTGTCGTGTTCCTTCTTGGAGGCGCAGTCCGGGGATCGCAGGGGCGGCGAGAGAGTCGGGTTGTGGGTGTGATGGTGGAGGGTGGCAGCTTGGCTCGACGCTTCACTGCCTTTTCTTCGGTGGCTCATCGCTGTTGCCCTTGTTGCTGCGTCTGTGGCCGACAGCTCTAGCCCTTCGGTGTGGCTTAACCGCGGACGACGACGGTGCTCGGAATGGTGTGCTCTGAGCTAGCAGGTCTGCTCCTAGTTCTTTCTTCATGTGCAGCTTGGGCGTCTTCCTCTGGGTTCTAGGGTGAATCGAGCTGCCGCCTGCCGGTGCGGCATCCTTCGAGCCAGGATGGGAGGGCAGGGGCCCTTGGCAGTGGCAGTTCCAGAGGAGTGTCAGTGCTGTCTTCGATTTTGGCTACGATCACGAAGCTTGCGCGGTGGCGCATCCTCTCAAGTTCGTAGCTTGTCCGGTTGGTGTAGGTCGTCCTGTAGGGTGTTGGCGGCAGCATGGCGTGTTCTTGCTATCGTTGCTGCCTTTGAGTCTGTTTCGCTTTGCTCCTTGTATCAGCCGCTTGGTTCTCTTCTTGCTTTCCTTGTTAGTTGGTGTTCTTATAATCCTGGCTGGTTGATGGCTTTGTTAATTCAAAGCCGGGCTCTTCTTGAGCCTTCGTTCTAAAAAAAAACGTACTACAAGCAAACAAAAGTGATCCCTATGGCACATAATGGCAACACCACATGACATCAAATCATCCGGTCGTGTCTGTTTTGGGATAAACAAACACAAAGCGCGACCAAACGCATAGGAGTAAACGAACGAGCGTCCATTTTTCGTTCTCTTTCGATTCATTCCCGACCCAACTTTGAGTTGCGTTGTGTTAGTGTCGAAACAGACACGCACGGACGGGCGCGACGCGTGCCCATATCTTTCCCTGACCCTTCCGTTGGGGACATAGGCGCCCCCTTTTCTCTCCATCCTCCCAGCCACCCCCAAACCCCCGAACCCTACCCGCGAATGCCACCGCCATTTTCTCGGCTTCCCCCCTGCACGACGCACCCCCTCCTCCTCCCGCCCCACCCCCCACACCCCCTCCCCCCGCCG